ACTGGACTGCAGTTTTGACCTCACATTGGCCTTATAAACACCTCCAGCGGGACTCAAACCTTGATAGTGCAGTATATTATCCAGTACGCCGCATTGCCACGGCTCTCCTTGCGTCACAGAGCAGATGTTAATTACAAGGAACTAAGGCTCGAAAGGCCTAGTTATGAAACAATACAAGAGTAATATAGTCGATTGTTGTGGTAAATACAACTTTGCATTAACCGATAATCCCACCACAGAATATGATATGGGAAAATGCCTGACCTTCCTTGAAATTCGTTTCTGCCTTGTGACCCAAGAGCACTCGTGGCGTAGTGGTTATCGTTTCAGGATTACACACTGCATTGTCATGGTTCAAGCCCCCCTAAGGATGCTGATAAGATCTAGGCGAGGAGGAAACAGCAGTTCACTCCTGCTTGGATGAGAATACCTGTTAGCAACCAGGGTTATTTGATATTAAATAGAATTCTGAGGCTTACTTATATTATTGTGGGATAATTCAACTACCAGTTCTTGATCACCTTAAACGAAATATGATGAATACAACTCTTATATTCTCATTACTTAGTTTGCATTTCTCATAAATTACTACTGACAGCGCGGACTGCTGATTCTTGATAGCGAAGTTCTGACTCTCAACTCTTGACTACTGACTTTTAATACAAGATCTACTGAAAGTCTCAAAACCTTGAGCATTTCAAATATAACTTTTTGTTGACCTCTATTAATTGAGATTTTTGCCTCTGACTGCAAACTATTGTCTACTGACTACTAATTTCTTACTACTAACTAAGGACTAGTGGCTTCTGACTACTACCTCAGTTCGCTAAAGGTGATAAGGGAACTATTAGTTGAAGTTACCCATAATTATATGAGTATACCGTACGCTTCCATTGAATTTCACATAGCCTTTACATAAGCAAGGCTATGTGACATTTAATGGAAGCGTAATGCCTATTCATGGAATTTTGGGAAAATTCAACTACTAGTTCCCTTATATTCGTAAGTAAGTAGGGTTTCGAGACTACCAGTAAATCAGTGTAATGAGATGTATTCACCCTAT